CACGTACAATTATTTTACTTGCTCACCAGGGACTCATCATCACCCAGCCATAATTTCTCAGTATTCCACTTTTCCTTGACCCATTCACTCATTCCATACATGTTTTGTAATTTGATCTTCATCAGATCTTTTAAATGTTCTTCTTTCTGGTTACTCTAAGAAAGTAGAGTATTGTATTCAATCCACAATCAATTAGCACCCATTTATTTTTGGTCCTATCTCTTCTTGTTTTATGACACGCACTTCTTAAGTACCCCATTCCCACTGCATTCAATTTTCTTTTATTTTTTCCTGATATACCCAAAGTTTATGTACATGTAACTAAGTAGGAATAAACACATTCCTGCATACTGCCATTTTTTGGTCCTTTCCACAAATACTCATTACTTGTTATAGACCACATACAATCTACTAACTTTCTACCACCATGCATGTCATAAATTTCTCTATCCATTTTCATATTTTTAGCAAACATTCAGCCAAGATTCAGAAATTCATCTACTTCCTTCAACTTTTAGCCATTAAGGTATAATTTGCAATTGTTCATGCCATTTTCCCTGTCAAACAAAAATTACCATGTTTTAATACATTAAATTGCAACAATACTTGTTTCATCATAGAATCTAACTTTCTCTGCAACACATTTGGATTCTCAGTCAACGATTTCATACGTCTAACATCACCCCAAGGATTCCTTATACATTATCCATCAATACATCAAAGAACCGTACATTTTTGTCTTATTCTCTGTTCACTGCTAAACCATTCACTAAGAATTCCACTTATTCTCATGATGGTGTAGGTTCAGTAACTAACCTTTAAGTCCATATTCACATAGAACATTCCATATCTGTTTTATCATACACTGTCTCAAAATCAACAAGTGTTCAACACATTTTCTATCTCATGTTCATACTTTACTCAATGACTTGCTGAAGAGCATAAATCTGATCTGCACAACGCCTACCTGGCATAGAGCTTCAAGATTTTGCTCACTGTCACCACTTGTACCCTTTCAATAGCAATTCTATCAGACAATTTCCCAGGCAACCTTAATCTCCTTTAGTTTTTGCATTCGCTTTTCTGACTTTCCCTTTGTATAAGCAAACCATAATAGCATTGTTCCACTTCTCAGGCATGATGTAATCTTAACATATTTGTTAAGGAAGTCACACAGCCATTCCATATGCAAATCATGTCCATGTTTTAACATTTCTTCAGTTACATTATCTACACATGTAGGCATTCATCAACATTCTCAAAATACTTATATCTTTTATATAATCTTTATTTGAACTCTAACATTTATAACATTTGTTTCAGTTCCATTCTTTGACATACCACTATTGCTATCATACAGATTGTTAAAAAGTTCCTTCAAGCAATTTCTTCATTTCAGTTTCATCCCAAATCATTTCACCATTTTTATTTTTAATCCCATTGATTCCATTGGAGACTACTTGTTTAACCCTCTACAACCACTTTCAAAACAGATTTTATTTCTATGACAATCACTGCATTTCTCTTCATCCACTTTTCATTCATTCTACTGAAAGATGAATTTATCTTTTAAAAAACTTTTCATACAGGACATATACTTTTTCTTCCTGTACTCATTCTATTTTCCTTTTAGTTTCTTTCACTTTTTTCTTTCTCTTCCATGTATATACACAAAAAAAGGTCCATCTTACATTCAGAACTTTTTATCATCCTTCAGTCCTTCACTAATTTGCTCAGTGTTTTATCATAAAAGGTCAAATTAATAATGCTTTTGAATGTTTATACAATCTTTCAATATGTGTACACATGATTTATTATGCTTAAACTGCATGTTTGAAACATACCTTTTTCTCAAGAGATATTCACTAAACTTATCAGGCTCATTCATTATTGGATCTCTAAATGTCTCAGTCACAATAACTCCATAATTAAGAAATAAGCCTAAGTCTGTGCATTCCTATCTAGACCAGACATTGGGCCAGACTTTGACAGCAACACTTGGTTAGCCTGGGGATAAGACATACAATTGAGTATCATCAGCATATTGATGATACCTGACCCCAAACCAACAGATAACTTCACCCATTGGTTTCATGTAGATGTTAAGTGAAGAGAGAGTGTTGTACGCTGAGGCACCCCATAATTAAGAACATAATCTCATTAGCTAGGGGTATTCAGTATTCTGACATACATTAAGGTATGTCTGTATGTCCTGTATATGAGTGTGTAACATATATACACTTTATGTATGTTATTAAATCACCTGCTTCATAATTTATCCTAAGTACATTAAGAAACTGCTTAGATCCAAGAACTTATTAGCTTAGATCCAAGAACCCAAGAAACCTATTAGCTTAGATCCATTAAGAAACTTATTAGCTTAGATCCAAGATCCTGCTTGTTGGCCTCTGAAAGCAAATCAAAATTGGCTTTTTCCCCCTCTTTCCTTCTGAACTATGAAGCTCCAACTGTCCTTTAGGGAAAGAGCTAATAATAATTCTTCAGCCGAGCCTTTTGTTAAGTCACTCTCATTAATAGGAGGAGTCAAGAGTAACGAGTAGTGCAGAAATTTTGGTTGATAATGATGTCCAGAATTGGCTACATGTATCTGAAGATCAGGTAAAGGTAGTATAGAGATATTCCAAAGGTAATGGTACAGGCTGCTTTCCGGAATCCCACTGAATGGAAGACGGCATGTACCCTAAAGTTGCACAAGCATGGGAAGCAATTGTGTACAAGCTAATCATTGAAGATATCCTTAGCTCGAAAGGTACTACATTTATATAAAAGGAAAGGGTGCTCCTGCATGGAAGAGATTCTGGACTAAATTCTTTCCAAAATCACAAACAACGATCCTAGGTGTAGTTTCTTTCCTCAGTCACATTTCTTGTTTCTGTCTCTCATCATGGACACTTTATCTGTTATTTTCTGTCCTTCAGTTTTTAAAAGAGTTTAGTTATACAGTATTCCACATCTTCTTTTCCGCAAGAGTGGAGCAGAAATGCAGGATAGGTTCTTTGCTCATTTAAAATGTGTGTTATGTGTGGCATTGAATACAAGGAGCCCCTGAGCTGTGGAGTCCTAAACCTGTAGTTTGTCCTTATGACATCACTGCTCAAGGAATGTCACTAACTACTAACAACTGCTGTGGCTGGAGGATCTCTCATGACAGTAAGAAGGGCTGTAAATTTGGGGGTTCAGAATCTGTAGTTTTTTAAAAGGCTTTCCAAATAATAGTACAAAGATAGAAGTGGAATGCTAACAAGGCTTCCTCCTGAAGTTTGACTCAAAAATAAATTTTGGAGATAAGGAGGGGGTACAATAAATAAAATATGTGAATTAATGGTGTTTGTGGTATCTCTTAAAATACAAGATCAAAGGGAGTTTGAATTTTGAATTGAATTGTCATAAGATTCATTTTATGGGCAATAATGCATGTGCCTTAGCTATTGCACTTTATTACATAACATCGCATAGCTTGTTGTTCTGCAAAGGTGTCTTAGAAGGCTGACATTACAGGCTTCCAGAAGAGGCTTTTATCATGCAATTGCTCTTTGTTGTGAAACGTTCACAAAATTTTACGGGGAGTTCAGATGAATATGTTTCCTTTGTCTATTGTATTATCCACAATTGCTGCCATTTATTCTCATGGATGAAAAGAATCCATCATGTAAAAAAAAAAAATTTCTTCCTGATGTAGGTCATGCCAGGAATTCTCTGCCTAGGACAAGTGTAGGCAAAGAGTAATTGAGAGCCTTACATAGCCCTTAAGCCAATTTTGAGATGGAAAACACTTAGAAACCGTATGCACGGTCTGAAATAGGTTTTTATTTAATTTAAATAACAAAGTTAAAATTGGGAGGAGGAGGAGCAGGAGGAGGGAGAGGACTATTAATTTTCTCCCCAAGAAAATTTAAAAAGGGGGGCGGGGGTGAAGAATCCATATGTTGGTCCTGTTCACTTGCATCATCACCTACCTAGTGTCATCTTAATCATACCCTTCCCAACCCAATATAGAGGTTTCAAACATCAATTGTTTTCTACCACTAATTGACATGCAGACTAACTGTACACATTACAACTAGTTCCTAATTTTATACAGCTAAATGATATGCCTTTCAGTGCAATATAGAGCTTTTTCCTTTTTAGGACATTTTCATATATAAATGGCAAGTACTTTTCATCTGGAGGAATGCATCTCATGCAATTCCTAAATCTTAGATGGAAAGTCAAGCAATCCAAACTCAAAACCAATCTCTATTTTATGAAGTATGCACCTTATACTAAAATTAACACAGATTTCCTTCAAAAAGAATTTTCTAATTGAAATGTGACCAATATGTTTCAAAAATGGATACTATTCAATTCTGTATTTAAATCTCATAAATGCAATTGTCAACTTTCAATTCAAGTATGTTATCATTTTGTTACAGTTTGTTGTTCAACTGTACTACTTTGTAAATATTTTATAAGAACTAAACCCTGTTAGATCCGTAGGACTTACTCCCAGATAAATTAGTATAGGAAGGCACCTTAAGACTAAAACCCTGCATTCCCTTATTGGGAAACGTTGCCATTAAACAAAATAGGGATAGTTATTTGATTGATTAATTTATATCAGCTTTTCTCCAGGAGTGGTATATATATATAGCACTACAACTCTATGAAGTGGTTTTGGGCTGAGAAAGAGTGAATGACCCCAAATCAACCAGTGAGTTGTCAGAAGGAGGGCTTGGATCTAGATCAGACATGTGTAGGGTTGTACATCTCAGTTTGAGGAGAACCCATGGATAGCATTTTAATTCATACACAATGTTCCTATATTAAAATATTGTTATTACAACCCCACCATTTCTTTAATTTGAGTTTTTTTGTATTCTGTTTATAGAACGAAGTGTTCCAAGAGTCAACCTCTTGTAGAGGCAGAACCTTTAAACAGAAGGCCTAGTTCTGTTGACACTGAAGTTGCCTCAGGGTGTGTGTGTGTGTGTGTGTGTGTGTTACTGGAAATCGCTGACGGCTCAGATGGATCGCCTGGAACTGCAAAAAGTCAACACAGAACTTGATGAGGAGAGCAACAGCGGCGAAAGCACTGAAGACAATGACGCAGATATGGTTGATCCAGAGAAGGCAACTATTAGCAGGTAGAAAGTGATACAGTTGCAGAAGGAACAAGACCAAAACAGAAAAGTAGTAGAATTTCACTTGAGGAAGTCAGATGATTAAAGAATTGATATCACTGAAAATCAAAATGCATGCTTTTCCTCTAAAAGACAGCAGCTATATTTCTGAATTTTTCCCACCTATATATCAAAAACTTCTGCAAATTTGCCTGCACAGTTTTACACTTATTCTTAGTATATTGTACCACGCATTATTTAATTTATTATTAATGGCTTCTCTGAGGATTCTCATTGTAAATCTGGACATCCTCACAAACTGATCACATGTAAGTTAATATTTGGAGTCACAGGAACCAATGCTCATTTTCAAATGACAATCTTTCCCTGAAACCCATTTAATGATTTTGGTGGTAGCAAGATTTTAAACTATGAGGAGCTCCACTGCTGTGACCATGCAATATCTGCTCCCTTTCCAGGTTGCTAATCTGTTTCTTGTTACAATTTATGTTGATCTCTTTACTAAAGTCTTAGGGCTAACTGCCTCAGTAATTAAAATGGTTTATCTGATACTAAGAAAGTTATACCTGTACTGGCTGTTCATTGTATTTTATTTCTATTATGTTTCCATGTTATTTTATGCTGGTCAGGGCAAAATAAAGTCATTTTATTTCATTGCATGTTCTTTTCATGGTGATGTCTTATGCTTCATCTGCTTTTTCTCACCTTTCAGCCACTTTGTTGGTGATGATGCAGAAAGCCAGAAGTTTCTTGCTAACGGCTTCTTGGGTAAAAAGAAAATGGAAAGTTATACAGATGAATATGTAAGTTTATTAGCCATAATTATGCTGTAGGTCTGTCCCAGAGATCCGGTGCAACTAATGCATCTTCGTTCTTTTATTTTTTTGCCCAACAGCATCCAGGAAATATATCGTTTGGTATTTCAGCATTTAACCTAAGCAACGCCATCATGGGGAGTGGTATCTTAGGGTTATCCTATGCCATGGCCAACACTGGAATTGTACTTTTTATGTAAGTAGTCAAGTTGTGATTTTAAAAAACGGTTGAGGAAAATTTGAACGCATCTGGTCCTTTAATCTATACATTCTCATTAATCTATACATTCTCATGCCCAGTCTGGTCATAGGATAAAACATCCACCTCTTATGCAATTGGTTAATGAGATAAGGGACTCAATTTGTATTCATGGCCTTTCCTGTTCAAATATTTGTACTAGTCCAAAAAGTGTTAGTACTCCACTTTTAAATATACGGGGCCAGGGGAGGGGGGAATACAGATATGAACCGTTCTCATTTGATGCAAGCTGTGTGTATTTTGTAGTCAGAAGAAATACAGAATACAGAAAAAGTTAGTGGGAGAGACAATCCAAATCAATCATAATATAACCTTGTTAGGGATTTTCTGATGTTCTTAACATCTAAGAAACAATAAGGTAGTAGCTTCCTGTATACAAGTCTGGGCCTGGCAGAATTCACTCACTTGGTATCTGTGGCAAAATCCACATATAATGGTAAAATCCAAGATAGATGATATAGATATCTGCTCAAAATGCCCTAAGCATTTCAGCCTCTGGGGAAAATCCAGGCAATAAATACTTAACCATCTATATCTATTGATAAATGGTAGATCTCTCTGTCTGCCCAACTGGAAAAAAGCAAACCAAAGAATAAATGAGACAGATATTGGGGTACCTTTTAATTAGTTAGATAGCACAATGATGGAGCTGCAGGAGAATGTGCTTGAACTGTACAACACTAAATCTGAAACTGTAACATGTAGATATAGATTTTCTGTCCATCTAATATCTTACTATGCCAAATGTTCTAGCAATGCTGACAGTACTGACATACAGCTGACATACACTATCTATACAGCATATCCTTTGATGGACAACAACAGATGCTTCTGAGCAACTTTTAACTATAGCTAGATCTATCAGAGCAGGAGACAACTTTTAAAAGCTGCTCCATTCAGCAAATGGTTACAATTCTTTCAATCTAGGATCATGCTGTTTAATTTGGAAAAGACTGAAATAATTGGATTTGATGGCTGGCCTACATGGTTAAAAGAAGAATAAAGCAAATATACTCTCAGTATTCTCAGTATTCTTAAATCCTCTCAGTATTTAAGACTAGGGTTAAGTGGAGAAAATTGGGGAAAGAAATGGTCAGCAACAAGATAGTGAAGTTTTAAAAAATAATTGTTGCCGCACAGATTCTAGATTGGATTCTAGATTGAGGCAGGGCTTAAGCATGAGGGAAAAAAGAGGAAATGGATGTAGTTTATCAATGATTTTCTAGTAGTAAAGGATAATTTTACCCTGAAAAAAATGTGTCTTAAAGACATTTCTGTTAGCACTCTTAATTTGCGTGTCATAAACAGAAGATCATGGATGAGCTTTGGAACCAACCTTTCCTCCTCTAACATCTCCTCCCTGCCACCCTCTGCAGCCTGTGAAAAAAATTAGCACAAAGATTTTGACTTGCATCCAACAAGAATTCCCAAGTATGCCCACTAGAGAACTATAACCTAATATCAGTTAACCATCAGGAAAATAAGCAGGGATGTGAACAAATATCCATATAGAGCCACCATGTCCTATATCAGTCTATACCAACAGATCTGATGGTTTTCCTTATAGTGTTTTCTAAAAATAATAAGGTAAAGGGTTTTTTTTTTAATTTAAATCCTCAACTATGATTTAAGAATAACATTAAAATGTTTAACCCTAAACTACTATATATAGTATTCTAAGGCATTGAGAATTCAAGTTTTTATCGTATATCATTCTTTATTAAGCAAATGTATTTTATATTAATGTAAATTAAAATTAAATACTGTATGAGTGGCAGTAGTGTCAACTGAAGAAGGGGACAAGCCATCTCTGTTTTAGACTATATGTAACTGTTTAGCAGTGTATAATTGTTAACAATAAGACAGAAAATATTGTTAGTACAGACTGGGCTTTTAGGAACGCCTATGAACCTCTTTGTGACTTTACCACCCCTTTCTCTCAAATGCTGTTTCTCCATTACTTAAGCTACAATAGCACCCTGAATTAAAGTTTCTATATAGAACTGGAAAGCCTTTATGTGTAGATCTTTTTTATTCATATCTATTTCCAATTTCCATATTCCTTTCAGAATCTTACTCCTCAGCGTAGCTGTAATGTCCCTCTATTCAGTACATCTGTTACTGAAGACAGCTAAAGAAGGAGGTATGATTTACTTAATATGGGGAGGGAGGCAATATTTTGAGTAAGCATATCCCAACTCATAGACTACAAGGCAGATGTCTCAGACACCCAGTCCTGATGTCTCAATAACCACAACTGCTTTTACTACATATTATCATCAGTGCTATCATTCTACCCAGAAGACCCTCAAAATGACCATGTGGTGTTACTAGCTTCAGAGACTGGCAATGAACATTTGCTAGAAACTTCTGCTTCAATATATCAAGGGAATCAGATGCAGCCAAAGAGAATCCTCAGACTTTTATGTCCTATCATTTCCAGTACTCAGTCTTCCCAAATCCTGGAGCCAGCACTGAGTGGTAGTGCAATCACAATTTAGTCAAGTTTTATCTCCTAATTTCAGTAGAAAAATGTTATGTACTTATTTTGAGTTATCCGGTGAGCTGTCCTAAAGGGTCAGATCAAAGCCAACAGATCAAATATTTTGTATTAAAATCTTTCATTTCCTGTTGCTCCTAGGCTCACTAATATATGAAAAATTAGGTGAAAAGGCATTTGGGTGGCCTGGAAAAATTGGTGCTTTTATTTCTCTCACAATGCAGAACATTGGAGGTAAGTTGGAAATGGAAGTGGAGAAGGTTTAAAATAAAAATAATTTGTCTAATGATAAAAATTGGAAACAGTTGTCTACCACTGATGTCATAGTAATCTTGAATTAGATTTAATAGAAATAAATTTCTTAATTGTATTGTCAAACATGGTGTACAAGTAATATATATAATGTGAATAACAGCTGAAAACTAATTTTAGAGTAGTTTAACACTTGATATGGAGCAACTGAAAAATGACATTTGGAAGTGTAAAAATGTCGCATAATTTACACTGTCCAAGTAGCATTTTTCAGTCCTGGCTGATAATACTGCTTTCTAATGTGGATTTTTTATTATATTTATGTTTTGCCTGCATTTGCTATAAGACAGATTTCTTCACAATTCTGGATTACCAGCAAATTACAGTATGTAATTTGGAGTATGTGATTCCAGAAAAGAATTAAGGTGTGGCAGGCAGTTGCTAACATTTGCACTTGTATATTCTTTTAAACACCTTTGGAGATCAGTTTTTTAAGTATGGCCATTTTAAATGATCCTTCTCTGGGATCCCTATCCTGTAAATACTTTTCAGTGGTGGCAACAGCATCACACAAATGTCACAATATATACTTGCGTCCCAATGTCTTTGCAAGTATATAAACAGTAGTATGGGGATGACAACATTATCACACATGTCTTATCATTGTCTATCCTTCCCCACATGAAATTTAGCATGAATAACATTTCTATATGACTGATATTTTAATCAACTGAATGTTTTTTATGCCCCTTTTAATCATCCTATTCATCCTAAGATAATATATTTGCCATTCACAGCAATGTCAAGCTACCTCTTTATTATTAAGTATGAACTGCCAGAAGTAATCCGAGCATTTTTAGGACTTGAAGAGAATTCTGGGTATGTTTTTGCTTATGCTTATGCTTATGCTTATGCTTATGCTTATGCTTATGCTTATGCTTATGCTTATGCTTATGCTTAT